AATTAATTTATTTTTTTACATTCCAATCCCAGCTCTCCCTCCCTCCTCTCTTCTCCTCCTTCTCTCTCTTCCTTCCCCCTTCCCATATCCCATCCACTTCTCAGAAAGGGTAAAGCCTCCCCTAGGATGTCAACTAAGTTGGTCTCATCACCTTGTTGAGGAAGGACCAAGGACCCCCCCATGTCTAGGCTGAGCAAGGTATCTCTCCATAGAGAATAGGCTCCACAAAGTCAGTTTATACATTATAGTTAGATCTTGGTCCCACTGCCAGTGGTTTCATATAATACCCAAGCCATACCATTGTCACCTGTATTTGGGGTTCCTAGTTCAGTCCTATGCCAGTTCCCCAGTTGACAGTGCAGAGATCACCTGTATTCACGGGTTCTAATTCAGGTCTATGCTGATTCCTCCGTTAACAGTGTGGAGTCAGTGATCTCTGACTAGCTCTGGATGGTGACTCATTTCTTAATTGTAGTTAAAACATAAATAAAGGATGAAGCCTTCATGTCCCCACTGCCTCCCCTATCACTGTTTCCTCCCTTATAAACAAAGTGTATCTGTCAGTCTTCACGGTATGGGTCAGCAGATACTGACTGGGCTTGGCTATGTGCTAAGACAGAGAGGGGTGTCAAAGAAGCCGTGTTATGCCATGTCCCGTGTTATGCCATCTCGGGACCTGGCATGCAGTGCAGAAGCAACCAGGAAGCAACCAAGAATCACTCCGAGGCTTTGCTCATGAGTGAGAAGGACAGAAAGGAAAATCCACAGAGGGAAGGTCTGTGTATAGAGGCTTTATCACCATCAAACACCGGAGTGCTCACAGGGTACTAAGAGGGTGGGATGGAACTAGGTGGAGAGGGACCAACCTGGTACTCCTGACCTGCACATGTCGACTGTGTCAGTCCTCAGTGGAATTGAGGTACAGCATCTTAATATTTGGGATAGTTGTTTGGTAGAATATTGTCTGATCTGGGCTCCCCAAAGCAGGTCTGTGGGCACCTCTAGCCAGGAATGACTTGTTCTACATAAATTCCAGCTCCAGCAGGTTTTCACTGGGAAGAATTGCCCAGCAAGATCCTCTGGCCCCTATGAGGCACCCTGTGGTTGCAGCTGCAGCTGATCAAGAGGCGGGGGGAAAAAACACCCCAGTTCCAAGGTGGCCTTTGATATGACCAGCCTATAGCCAGGACTGGCCGGAAACTGCCTCCCCTGTTCAAATCAGGTCTGTCAGCCACTAGTGACTTTTGACCTTCTGCTGATCTAGGGGAAATCAAATTGACAAACCCCCTCATTAGAAGCACCACCTTTGCATTATTGATGCTGGGGGATCAGGTCAGTCTCTTCTCTCCCTGAATCAGCTCACACTGAAGTGCCTTGAGCTATTTGAGTATAAATTATTCCTTTAAAAAAAAAAAAAGAAAGAAAGAAAAGAAAGAAAGAAAGATACATATTTCCTTTCAATGCCTTTGCTCCCCAAGAAGACAGACCTTCAAAAGGTAACTTAGCAGGAGACTACCCTGCCTACCTTCAAAAGACAACTCAGGGGGAGCCTGGAAGGCAAGGAGTGTGTGTCCAGGTAGGGGTGGGGGTGGGGGTGCGGGAATGCCAGACATTTAGCAGGAGGCAGCTCACTGCAAAGAAGCCTGCACTCACAGACATCGTCTCTGTCTGCCCTGGTTGCCTTGATCTGTGGCTCAAAGCAGAGTCTTTGGGTTGTGATTTTCATCTCTAAAACCAGAACAGCAATGCCCTGCCCTGCCCTGCCCTTCCTGCTGCCTTCATGGGGGCTACTTTAGAGATTTAGGAAACAATCCTCTTCATGTCTTTCTTGCTGGTTCTATGGGTAGGCAGTTGCCCATGTGTGATGTTATTTGAAGAGCTACCCATTGCGTGGCACTTGCGTAGTTTTTCCACCACTGGCAGACCTGTCCAAAATCCATGATTCATCATCTCTCTTCAAGCCTCTTTTGCATATGGATAAGCACTTTGGCTTTTAAGTCATCAACACTTGAAGAAGGATCATTTAGAGGTTGACTACTTCCGTAACAGGAGGCTCCAATAAATACAGGGACAGAAAAGGGGACAGAAGTTAAGGAAGAAGGGACTGAGACAGGATGAGGGGGCAAGGAGAAAGGTTGGACCTATGAAATATCATTCTCTGGGAGCAGAGTTTGGTGGAGGCCAGCCAGCATCATTCCTGGGTCCTCTTTGTGGGGTCCTGTTTGCTTGCAGGGGAGCATGGAGAGCAGGGCTGTGACAGCTAGGATCAGGCAGACTTGGGGAAGGAGGGAGACTTGGCTTTTGACACACTGCGTTTGCAAAGCAAGGTGATAGCAGTTGCTACCCAGTCCCCACTAGTCTAGCAGAAGGGATTAAGCCAACCTTCTAAGGACAACACATTGAGCAATTAGTGCTGACCAATTAACATAGGGAAAAGGATTTGCATAATGGATGGTGGGGACATAAGTGGGAGGCAGGAGATGACTTTATCTCTTACCTTTCAAAAGTAGGACACGATCTTGAATTTCATGAAAAAATGTGGCTCAGGACAGGTGACCTTAGTGGGTAGTCATTACTGGGCTGCCATGGCATTTAGCTTCAGGTGTTTGTGTTGAGGAGAACAGCAAATGAAAGATGTAAGGTCCTGAGAACCACTTGTGCATATACATACGTACATGCTGGCAAAACACACACACACACACACACACACACACACACACACACACACTAAATACCAAAAAAAAGAAGGAAGATAAGTGTGATCCAATGTCACACTGACTTGGCTTCAGCCCTGTTGGAGTGCCTTGGGGTCCTTTCCTGTCCCTGGTCCTCACAGGTCCTTTTCCTCTCAAAGGTGGGGTCTTCTATAGGTTGCTTTTGAAGACCCAGCCAGAAGAGCATTATTCTTGTGGCTGCTCACTCAGAGCTAGTGGGGCTCCGAGCTGGGGCATGACTAAGCTGTTTGCAGCTGTTGTGTTCGACACGGGGTACTGCCCAGCCGCCTATGGGCTGCTCACCCAGGTGGATGGTCATAGCCTCCCCTCCTGCTGGAGCCACACTTGGCTTTTGCAGAGACTGGAAAGGGCTCTGTCTGATGGCCTTCCTTACCTGGCTGCTCAACAGTGCCACTTTGCACAGTTACAGCAGCTGTTTGAGGATTTTGTTTATATGCCAGGGTTAGCCTCTATAATTGGGCTTGAATCTTTTTTTTCTTTCTTCTCTCTCTCTCTCTCTCTCTCTCTCTCTCTCTCTGGTTTTTCGAGACAAGGTTTCTCTGTATTGCTTTGGAGGTTGTCCTGGAACTCGATCTACAGAGAACTCACGGAGATCTGCCTGCCTCTGCCTCCCGAGTGCTGGGATTAAAGGTGTGCATCACCAACATCCAGCCGGTATTTCTTTTTTTAATTATTTATTTTTATGTGCATTGGTGTTTTGCCTGCATGTCTGTCTGTCTGAGGGTGTCAGATCTTGGAGTTGCAGACAGTTGTGAGCTGTGTATAGGTGCTGGGAATTGAACCCCGGTCCTCTGGAATAGCAGTTGTTGCTCTTAACTGCTGAGTCATCTCTTCAGCCCCTGTATTTAAATCTTAAAAGAAAAACGAACCAAGACAAAACTCGGACTGTTCTTAAAAACTTTATTCCTCAATATTTTGCAGACTTTTCCCACACGCCTGCTCAGCTCTTGTGAGAAAAATAGCCGCTGAATTCCAAAGCTTCACGAGTAAATCTCTCAAGGAACACATTTTGCCTCCTCTGATGAACATGTTAATTTATTTCAATTTTTGTAAGTATGTACTGCTCATGAATATTCCTACATAAATTCTCCCAAATAAAGAACCCACTGTTCTTAAGGTCATGACACAAGAAAAACCACTTGTTACAAAACCCGGGCTAGACTCGTGTGGTTGGAAGCCTTCTATATTGATGGTTAGCATGAATTCATCCAAATTGTTAGAAAGTGTGTGTGTGTGTGTGTGTGTGTGTGTGTGTGTCTTTGTGTATGTCTGTGTGTATGTGCATATGTGTGTGTATGTCTGTGTGTATGTTTGTGTGTATATATACATGTGTGGGCCTGAATGTTTGTATGTATATGTATATATGTGCACACATGCATGTGATTGAGTGTGTGCATATGTATATGTGTATATGAGAGTATGTGCGTGTACGTATATGTCTGTATGTGTATGTGAGCATTTGTGTGTGTCTGTGCATGTGCATATGTGTGCATATGTCTCTGTGTATGTTTGTGTGTATGGATACATGTGTGTGCCTGAATGTTTGTATGTGTATGTGTGTGTGTAGGGGCACATGTGTGTGTGTATGCCTGTGTGTGTGGACACTGGGTGTTCTCCTCCATCAATCTTCTCTTGTTGAAGAGGAGTTTCCAGATCTGGCTGGTCTCAGTAGCTTACCCTGAGAATCCCCTGCTTTTCCTCCCTTTTCCTGAGATTTCAGGCTGGCTGCCATGTCTGACTGGCTTTTTATGTGGGTGTGGTGGGTCCTAACTCTTGTTCTTGGGCTGGTGTGACAAGAAAACACATTATCCACTGAACCAGCACTTCAGCCTTCGAATGCTTCTCATCTGCATCAATTATAGAAGAGGAAAGAAAGACAGAGAAAGAGACAGACAGAGAGACTGATTTCTATCCTCCTCCCCCATACTGGAGACCAACTCTTACTGTCACACACTCTGTTGGGTGTCAGTAGAGCTATGTCTTGCTGCCTTCTAGCTAATGATAATGGTATTCCCTGTGGGTTTGTTTTTGCCTGATTCTACTTACTTTTTTAGAGAAATGGTTTCTTTTGCTTTTCACTCCAGAAAGGGCTAGGATCACAAAACTCTTTTATTGCTTAGCTTGAATCTTAGAACTGACTTGGTTGGCAGAGTGGAGCTTCTTCTAAAATTGATGGACAGACATGGAGCCTGAGGCTGAGGGCTGATTATGATTAATGCTTTGCAGATAAAACTCCCCTTCTCGTGGATTTAAAGAGACCCGAGTCGAAGATCGCCCACACAGTGAACTTCTATCTCAGGCCTGAGCCTGGGGTGTTGCTCGGCATCTGGTGAGTGAAGCTGGCTGATTCCTTCCTAACTCTGGTTCTTGTGCTTATGTGACAAGCACATGTATTATACTCTGACCCATCTAAGAATAAGCCCCTGACCTTCTTACCCGCATCAACTGTAGAAAGAAGAGAAGAGAGAAAGACGGAGACGACAGAGACAGAGAGACATGTACATGCACGGGGGCGGGGGTGAAGGAGATGGAGCAGAACTTTCTGCTAGAAGAGCATCAAGGATTCAAGGCTGTGTTGCCTGCCTGTGCAGAACCTAGCTATCTGTGGAAGCTTCCAGAAGCTGCTCCATATACCTTTCCTTTATTATAACTCCCCTGCTCCCTTTTTCTTTTCAGAATGTTTGCTTTAGAGTCTGAAGTCTTACAAAATGGCACTCTTGGCTTCTGGCCCCACCCATTTCTGCCTTATTGCATCCATCCTTTCGGTCATTCTTCTGCTACAGACACACCAACTCCCTGACAAATGCCACAACCAGGACTTGCTCTGCTCCCTCCTTTTGACTGTCTCTCCATGCCCGACCCCACCCTCACTCATCTTTTGGGTCTCACTTTGGTCATTTTCAGGAAACCTTCCTTTTCCCTGCTTTTCATCATCCTCTTTTAGGTAAATGTGCTTATGGCCATCTGTGTTCAGTGCTTAGGGCAGTTCTTCCTATCATCATGGAAATAACACGATGGCTTGCTCACTTTGCCTTCCCAATGAGACTATAGCTTCTATTCCTCTGCTTTTCCTCCCTTTTCCTGAGATTTCAGGGTGGCTGCCGTGTCTGCCTGGCTTTTTATGTGGGTGTGGTGGGTCCTAACTCTTGTTCTTGGGCTGGTGTGACAAGAAAACACATTATCCACTGAACCAGCACTTCAGCCTTCGAATGCTTCTCATCTGCATCAATTATAGAAGAGGAAAGAAAGACAGAGAAAGAGACAGACAGAGAGACTGATTTCTATCCTCCTCCCCCATACTGGAGACCAACTCTTACTGTCACACACTCTGTTGGGTGTCAGTAGAGCTATGTCTTGCTGCCTTCTAGCTAATGATAATGGTATTCCCTGTGGGTTTGTTTTTTGCCTGATTCTACTTACTTTTTTAGAGAAATAGTTTCTTTTGCTTTTCACTCCAGAAAGGGCTAGGATCACACAAACTCTTTTATTGCTTAGCTTGAAGCTTAGAACTGACTTGCTTGGCAGAGTGGAGCTTCTTTTAAAACTGATGGACAGACATGGAGCCTGAGGCTGAGGGCTGATTATGATTTATGCTTTGCAGATAAAACTCCCCTTCTCGTGGATTTAAAGAGACCCGAGTCGAAGATCGCCCACACAGTGAACTTCTATCTCAGGCCTGAGCCTGGGGTGTTGCTCGGCATCTGGTGAGTGAAGCTGGCTGATTCCTTCCTAACTCTGGTTCTTGTGCTTATGTGACAAGCACATGTATTATACTCTAACCCATCTAAGAATAAGCCCCTGACATTCTTACCTGCATCAACTGTAGAAAGAAGAGAAGAGAGAAAGACGGAGATGACAGAGACAAAGAGACATGCACATGCATGGGGGGGGGATGGAGGAGATGGAGCAGAACTTTCTGCTAGAAGAGCATCAAGGATTCAAGGCTGTGTTGCCTGCCTGTGCAGAACCTAGCTATCTGTGGAAGCTTCCAGAAGCTGCTCCATATACCTTTCCTTTATTGTGATAACTCCCCTGCTCCCTTTTACTTTTCAGAATGTTTGCTTTAGAGTCTGAAGTCTTACAAAATGGCACTCTTGGCTTCTGGCCCCACCCATTTCTGCCTTATTGTATCCATCCTTTCGGTCATTCCTCTGCTACAGACACACCAACTCCCTGACAAATGCCACAACCAGGACTTGCTCTGCTCCCTCCTTTTGACTGGCTCTCCATGCCCCACCCCACACTCACTCATCTTTTGGGTCTCACTTTGGTTATTTTCAGGAAACCTTCCTTTCCCCTGCTTTTCATCTTCCTCTTTTAGGTAAATGTGCTTATGGCCATCTGTGGTCAGTGCTTAGGGCAGTTCTTCCTATCATCATGGAATTAACACGATGGCTTGCTCACTTTGCCTTCCCAATGAGACTATAGCTTCTATGGGTGGACAGCCTCTGGCGATGGGCTCATCTGTAGCCTAACTCTAGCACACATAAAATACTCAATTAAGGTTACAGGTGGTCATGTGCCTTCTATGTTATTTCTGTTGTGGTAATCCTGGCATCTTCTCTTTGGGTCTACTGCTTGCTCTTGGCTGCCATTACTAATGCTCTACTTTATAGTTCATGTCTGTGAATCTGAAGTTCCAACAGGAGGATGTTCTGGAATGGTGCCTATAACTTTTTCCTTATCCTCAAGGACAGTTTAGTTTGATTGACGACATGGGCCTGGAGAGGCAGCTATGTTCATGAGCAATTTACCAGAGGACAGCGGTACCAGTGTTTCCGGAGGTCCTGCAGATGGATGGTCGGCTTCTGTTCCTTGTTGATTGACAGGACTGCAGATTTATCACGTCTTGGCCAGTTCTGCATGTCCCTGTGAAATGATACATTGCAGCACTTTGAAGGTTCTCTTCTTAGTCTAACAAGACAGAGGAACTTGAAGACAGGTGTTTACAATCTCAAGGCCACTTAGTCAGACTGCATGGCTTCCCTTGAGTAGTGACTTCAGAGCTGTGTAGCTTAGAAATTAAAGAGATCTGTCTGTGGAGAAGAAACTTGTGTGTACAGTCTGGGAAGGCTCCTGAGGTATGTTGCAGGGTTGTCTTAAAGAGTCTGATTTACGCTCTGAAGTAACAGCACTTAATAATGGGTAGAGCGCTGGTGCTGTCCTAGATTGCTTTAGGTTGTGATAAACACTATGACCAAAGGCAACTTGATGGGGAAAGGGTTTATGTCATCCTACAAGGTACAGTACATGGGCCAGGGATGAGGGCAGGGACTCTGTGTAGGAACCTGGAGGCATGAGCTGAAGCAGAAGTCATGGAGGATGGCTGCTTATGGCTTGCTCTTGGGTTTATATTTAGCAGCCTCTCTCTCTCTCTCTCTCCCCCCTCCCCCCCCCCCCCCCCCCCCTTCACATATTACATTCCAACTGCTGTTTCCCATCCCTCAGTCTTCCCAGCCCCCACCTCCTCTTTCCCACAGATCCACTTCTTTCCTGTTTCCAAGAAAAATCTCACATATTACATTCCAACTGCTGTTTCCCCTCCCTCAGTCTTCCCAGCTCCCACCTCCTCTTTCCCACAGATCCACTTCTTTCCTGTTTCCAAGAAAAAGAGCAGGAATTCCAGGGGTATCAACTCAACACAGCATAACAAGTTACAATAAGACTAGGCACATGATCTAATATCAAGGCTGGATGAGACAAACCCAGTAGGAGGAAAAGGGTGCCAAGAGTGTGCAAAATTGTCAGAGACAACCCCAGTCCCATTTTCAGGAGTCCCACAAGCTACCCAACCATAACATAATTGCAGAGGGCCTAGCTCAGATCCATACCGGGTCCGTGATTGTGGCTTCAGCCTCTGTGAGCCCCTATGATCCCTGCTTAGTTGGCTCTGTGGGTTGTGTTCTCGTGGTGTCCTTGACCCTCTGGCTCCTACAATCCTTCCCCCCTCTCTTCTGTTCCCCTGGCTTCACCTAGTATTTGGCTGTGGGTCTTTGCATTTCCCGTCAGTTACTGGATGATGCCCCGATTTTAGTAATCATTTCAGTGATTTTTTTTTTCCAGTCATGTCCTATTCTGGGTCTTTGGGCTGTCTAGCCTCTGGTTCCTGGCCATCCAGTGTCAGGCATGGGCTCCCTCTTGTGGTATGGGCCTCAGGTTGAACCAGTCTTGGGTTGGCCATGCCCACAAGTTCTGTGCCCAGCACATCTTTCAGGCAGGAAAGATTGTAGGTCAAAGGTTTTGTTGTTGGGTTATATAACCAGTCCCTGGTTATAGAAGATGGCCAGTTGAGGCTCCATATTCCCCATTACTATGAGTCCCCACTAGAGTCACCCTCATAGTTTCCAGGGTGATTCAACTGCACTAGGTTTCCACATCATCGACCATCTTTCCTAATCTCTTCCTGGTGTGTCAAGTTCACAACCAGGGTTAGCCATTACCTCCACCCACATGACGTTGTTGAACATGGTTGTTATTTTTAAGTCCCCATGTGCTCATATGCTGAAATCTGTGCATCTAAACTTAAGCAACTAATGAAATGTATGAGTGTCTTCATAATACATTGATTACCGAGAGAGGAAAAAAAGAATAACTTGGGTTCATGTTCAAATTCTGGTGAATGTCAAGTATCTTTTTCTTGTTTCAACCTGGTTTTTGCTGTTGTTTTTGCTATTTCAATGGCTTGCACCTAAGAACTGCAATCTTGGAAACTTCTTAATAGGAACAAAAGTTGCAAGAATTAGAGCAGTAAACAATTAATGCATCCTGTGTGGGGTAGTGCAGGAGCAATAGCAATTTTCCTCAGATATTTTGTGCTCTTAGATTTTATTATTAGCTTATGCATGTGTTACTCAGACTAAAAAAAAAAATCTTTTAATGGAAAGGAAGCAAGTTTCTGCCTTTGCAGTTTTGTAAAACCTCTCCTTGCTCTTCAGGCACACAGTCCCCAGTTGCCGGGGAGAGGATGCCAAGGGGAAGTGTCGCTGCTGGTATGAAGCTGCCCTTCATGATGGGAACCCGATTATTGTTTATCTTCATGGCAGTGCACAGCACAGGTCAGCACCTCTGCTTGGAGCATCTGTCTGTCTATCTATCTATCTATCCATCCATCCATCCATCCATCCATCCATCCATCCATCCATCCATCTATCTATCTATCTATCTATCTATCTATCTATCTCTATCCACCCATCATCTATCTATCTATCTATCTATCTATCTATCTATCTATCTATCTATCTATCCATCCGTCTATCATCTATCTCTATCTATTTTTGAGAGATTAAGCCCATTTTTAAGCCATGGGAGACTGAAAGTAGTTTTCAACCACAGACATGCCTTTGCCTATCTCTAGTCATTATTTAATATGCAAAGATGTTCTGGCAAATGCCTTCTCTTTAAACAATCAGTCTGCATGTAGAATGCTGAGGGTCCGTTTCCAAAAGGGAGGGACTAACATTTCTTCCAAAATGTCTGTATTGATTTCAATTAAGTCACTGGTTTCTTTACTTCTCAAGACTATGCAAGACGATAGATGAATCCAAATAGAATCAGTTGTGTTTAAGCCAAGAAAGGACTAGAGCTAGCATCCTGGAGGAAGGGAGTCTCATGCGTGTGTCCTACAGGAAGAACTGTCCATAGAAGACTTGACAGAACCACATACAGCCTTGCACAAAGGTCACTGGGAATATCTGCCCATCACTTGCCCCTCAGCCTCAGACTGGTTGCTTCTAATCCCAGTAGCTAGGAATAATTGTTTCTAAATAGCTTCATGAAATCCTCTTCATTTGGTCTGTAAAATCTTCCCCCTGCATTTCTTTGCATATGTGCATAGACTTCTTTGCATTCCCATCAGAACTTGCTAGTTTCAAATAGTCTCCAAATACTCCATGGATTGACAAACCCATGGGCGACTGGAAACGGTTTAGGCATGCATTAAAGGACAAACAACGAGAAATGTCCACATTGGTGGTCTCTTTCAAAAAGAGATAGTGGGAGTCCTTTGTTTATCATTAATTCCCTTTATCTGAAGTCTGATGCCTGAGAGAGAAGTCACAGGAATTGGGGACTGATAAATTCCACTCTAACATTCATGTCCCAACCCAGGCTCTGTGGTCCCTGTCTGGCATTGTCACAAAGCTGGCCTCCCAGAAGCTTGTCCTTTGATGTGTGCTGTCAAAGCCTTTCCTGGACCATGTGATTACAGCTGGGGACTGTAGGACTGCTCTGGCGGGGGAGGGGTAGCGTATGGCAAACCCATGATCTCTCTCATGTTTGGGGGGGCACTTCAACCAATTGACAGGCTCAGGAACCTGCTCTCTGGCTAGCTCACTTATGTCTCTTTGTTATTTTCTGTCAGGTGATGGCTTTCTCAAGTCTTGCCTTCTCTCCCGGAGCTTTCTTGCTCTGTCCATTTTAGACATCATTCCCTAAGATTTTTTTCAGTGAAATTGAACAGTGGGCCTTGTTTAACATTGTTCTGATTTATGAAATTGGACAGTATTACCGTAGGTTTATTTAAAGGATCAGTACACGGTACTGCCATGCCTGTGCCTGTGCGTGAATCTGAAATTGTCCCCAGTTGACCCAGATCCAGGGGCCACGCCTTCCTCAGCCTCTTCCCTGAAGTCTCAGCTTACAGTCAGCAGTACTAAGCCCACAGTACTGAGTACTGAGTACTGAGTACTGAGCACCATCCTCCAAACAGGAAGCCACAGTTCTTGTCAATGCCCAGAATCAGGGTATTTAGGCTCCAGATCTATGGGGGACTTTAGGACTTTTGAACTCATCCCTAAAGTTGTATATAAAATGTTCACATTTTTGTTTCTAGGAAATGGGTTTATTGCTTTAACTAGATGCTCAGGAGTTCCATGGCTCATTGACACTGAACAACAATGACTCTAATGTTTTTGAAAGGGTTTTCTTTCCTTTTTTTTTTTTTTTTTTTGCCATTTGGCTAATTCTTTGCTTTCTTTTGTTGAGGTGAGTGTGGATGCTGTCATTTTGGGGGTTATTTTATATTTTCAAAAGCAAGTCTTTCTCCTTCATTTCTTCTTGCATTTTGTGGCAGAGTTAGTGGGGTTCAGACAAACCATAATTGAGTGCAGGAAAACCAATACCACCCTTACTGGTACCCCCAGTTCTGAAGTCACTCTTTATAAACTTTTCTTTAGCTTATAGAGACCTCCTAGAGGGAAGTTCTGCTGCACAGCACCCAGAGATGGGTTATTAGTACTTCGTCAAACACTTGTGTTGGGAAGTCTTGGAGAAACCAGTGCATCCAAGAAAGGGCAGGGGTGGAGGTGGGGGGCTTTCAGCCATTGGCCTGGACACAGGCAAGCTGGCCTTACCACTAAGAAATAATCTATTTGGTGGGTGGCGGTAGCAAACACCTTTAATCCTAGCACTCGGGAGGCAGAGGTAGGTGAATTTCTGAGTTCAAGGCCAGCCTGGTCTACAGAGTGAGTTCTAGGACAGCCAAGGCTACACAGAGAAACCCTGTCTATAAAAACAAAACAAAACAAAGGACCAGTGTTAGGCCAGGCATGGTGATGCCTGTCATTAATCCCTGCACTTGGGAGGCTGATACAGATAGATCTCTGTGAACTTTAGGTCAGCCAGCGCTCCACAATGTAACCCTGTCTCAAACAACAACAACAACAACAACAACAGAATACACAAAAACAAAACATAAATCTAAAAGAGAAAAGAAAAGGGAAAAATCGTAGGAGTAGGATGAGCTAAAGCCTGAGAGTGGTTTGTAATGAATTTGTCATGGTTGTTCCTAATTCTTGTGCTTTTCCCCCTCTGCCTCTCTCCTCCACAGGGCAGCTCCTCACAGAATTAAGCTGGCAAAGGTATGTTGGAAAGGCCACAGGGCACCAGCACTCTAAGTCCTCTCCAGTTCTGTCAGGGTTGCAGTCTGGAGTTCTTGAGGGCCTCAGTGTGATGGTCTCCAGAGACCATCTCTGTCCCCTCAGGAGTGGCCTTCTCCTCATCCATTACCTCGATGGGGATGGGAGTGTGTGTAAACACACAGGAACACCAGAGAGAGAGAGAGAGAGAGAGAGAGAGAGAGAGAGAGAGAGAGAGAGAGCGCGGTGGGAGTGTGTGTGTGTAATTTTGTGTGTATGTCAACACATGGGAATAACTTATTACTCTGGGCCCCCAAACCCTTTCATGATTTTGATCTCATTTCTACAAATTTCTTCACCTGTCTGGACAGGTGATTTCTTTAAACAAAAGATCTTTATTTTCAAATTATTTTTTCCTTTCATTTCTCCCCTCCCTTTTCCCCTTCCCTCTCCCCTAATACTGTTATTTTCATTTGTGTTTATTCTCCATTGGTCTTTTCTCTTTCATATAGAACCTTTGATACTATGGTTGTACCGATATATAAATTTATGTTGCACACTTTTACACTCTTTTATAAACATTTTCTTGTTTTTCTTTATCTTTTTCGAGCCAGGGTCTCACTATATAACCCTAGCTGGCCTGAAATTTTTGATATAGACCAGGCTGGCCTTGGACTCACAGAGATCTGCTTGCCTCTGGCTCCCAAATGCTGGGATTAGGCGTGCCTCACACATCCGGCTCTATTTTTCATGTTTTTATGTTGGGGTCATAATTACAAATTTAAAGACCACACCTTTTCCAGTTTATTCTTAAGTAACTGCTAACTAGCCCGCTGATGTTTTTTTTTCCTCCTAAATTTACTTAAATAATACAGCTACAAAAAGCTTAAGGCATCTATTTTGTTTTCTGTGTCTTATTTATTTTCTTAGGAGTAAATATTGGGGTCTAAGAGTTGTCACTGCTCTCCTTACTCAATATGGGATGCTACTTCAAGCTACTCATGCATATTCCTACTCCACTTCCTGGTGCCCACCTGTTTAAAAATAAATTTTCATGTTCTTTCTTTACCTACTTGGGGCTGGGCAATTATTTTATATATTTAAGTGGTGATCTCTTTATTTTTTAGTTGAGAATATAGTTTTTATTCGACCCTATTCAAGACAAACACCTCCCTATTATGAGATTGCCTTTCCCCACAACCACTCTGTGTAGCATTTCATTCTCAGAGAAATTCATCCATTCTTTCATAGTGTTTGTGGTCTCAGGGATCAAGCCCAGGGCCTTGAGCATGCTAGTCGAGTACTCTACCTCAGAGTCACTCCAGCACCTCTAGCCGATGCTTACCTGAGACTGTGAAATGCAAACAGGTGCATTGGTACAATATCCATGCAACCCTCCAGCAACCCTGAATAATATTTACATATTTGAATGTTTAACAAACAGGCTAAGGTTGTATAGCTGTTTGTTGCAGAGCCTGGGTGGCCCAGGCTACTTTCCATTTTCCCATAGACTCTCACGTTGTTAGTTTTGTTGTTGTTGTTGTTGTTTTTCTCTTTACTCTTTTGGGGGCCCACCACCCAGCTACCAAAGAAATCACACAGAATCTTATTCTTTCTTACGAATGCCCGGCCTTAGCTTGGCTTGTTTCTAGACAGCTTTCTTAACTTAAATTATCCTGTCTACCTTTTGCCTCTGGGCTTTACCTTTTTCTATTTCTGTATTTCTTTTTAATAGTTCTTACTCTGTCTGCTGTGTTGCTGGGTGGCTGGCCCTTTGTGTCCTCCTCCCTCCCTTTCTCCTCTCTTCTCTATTCTTTCTGTATGCCAGTCCCACCTGTTTCTCTCTCCTGCCTAGGAATTGGCCATTGAGCTCTTTATTAGAATCCAGGTGTTTTAGGCAGGCAAAGTAACACAGCTTCACAGAGTTAAACAAACGCAACATAAAAGAATACAGCACATCTTTTGCATCATTAAACAAATATCCCACAGCATAAAAGAATGTAACACATCTTCAAATAACATTCCACAACACTCTCATCTCTAAATAAAAAAAAAATACAGAATCTTTGTGATTCTGGGACTCAAAGTAAGCAACTTGAGTACACTATGCATGTGCCTTACCAGTGAGTGGTATCCCTGCCCTTCAGAATACATCTTTCCTCCCATTACAACACAGAGACACAGATGTATTGCAGAGGAACCTTCCCTGTTGGGATCGTCTAACTGCTTGAAATGATAACAGCTCATTTGGCATGCAGGTGCTGAGTGACGGAGGCTTTCATGTCTTGTCAGTGGACTACAGAGGTATGTGTCGAGAATAGTGGACAAAGATGTAACGGGAACAGAGGCTTTTGATGACTCCTTGGTTTGGAGGGTGTGATGCTGTGTTTGCCTCTTCTTGCTTCCAGGGTTTGGGGATTCTACGGGAACGCCCACTGAGGAGGGGCTAACCAGAGATGCTATTTGTGTCTATGAATGGACCAAGGCAAGAAGTGGTAGGACCCCTGTGTGTCTGTGGGGCCACTCTCTGGGAACAGGGTAAGTGGGGGCTGAAGTATTGCCCTTTGGTGGGTCCTTGTGTCTTCACAAGGGGTTTTGTGTTTTCAAAGGCACAGAAAACAGGGAAGGGAAACCAAACTGGGATGCCCCTGTTCCTTGGTCTCTCTCCCACTCCAGAAATGGCAAGAGAGCCTCCCTGACAGTGTGTCTGCTTTCAAGACAATGACAAGTCCCTTAAGCTCCCTGAATAATCATGACACTGACATCTATTCTGGAATAGTCCATGAGTGCATTAAAGAAAAAGACCCTTAAATTAGGGTCTGTGCCTCGCTTTGAAATTCTGTACAAAAGTATGTGTCTGTCTGGATTTTCAAGGCTGAGAGAATAGAGCCTTTCATCAATTGCTAATTCTGGGTTGTTGAGGCTGCAATGTCCACTGGACTGCTGAGTTTTACACACATGCTGTCAGTGTCCACTGGACTGCCGTGTTTCACAGGCACACTCTTACTGTTTTACAGAGTTGCAACAAATGCTGCGAGAGCATTAGAGGCGAAAGGTAATGTAAAATCCTTAAATGACAGTTTGGGGCTTGAGGTAGAAAATATAAAGTCAAGAGGTTCTGTTAAATTTGTGTACATGCTGACCACAGACTCCAAGGTGCCCCCCCCCCCAATTTGGAAGGTTTTTTTTAGCAGTGTAACCACTGCTTTTCTGGGCTAAAATGACTTGGCTAGGTGTGGTCGTTCACACACCCATAATCCTAATGCTCAGGAGGCTAAGGCAGGAAGGCCCTGAGTTTGAAGGTAGCCTGAGTTGTATAGTGAGCCCTCTTCCTAGCATGATGTTAATTTAAATCATAGGACAGGAAAATAATATATTCCGAGAAGATAACAATAGCCACACTGCCCTCTGCAGCCCGTTTTCCAACATTCATGTCAGTGTTCGACAGAGACCTGAGTGGAGTGTGTAGCAGATTCTGACAATGCAGCTTGCTTGCTTCCTAACTGATTTTATGAATTTAGGATCTCTGTGAATAGATGTGAATATGGCCAGACCATTTGTTTAAAGATTTAAAAAAATTAGTATGGAAGTGTTGAATGATAAAAAAAACATTAATTATCTACCCTAATGTTGCTATGAAAATTTTTAAAAAATCTCAAGACCAATTGCTTGTAGGTTTTTTGTTTGTTTGTTTGTTTGTTTGTTTTGGCAGTTGCTTACAGATCCTCACTCCTAAGTTTGTCTAGTTTCACTGAAGAACCTGTAACCTTTGCTCTATCTGTTTATCATCTATCTACCTATCTATCATCTATCTATATCTACTATCAATCATCCATCTTCTATCAATTAATCTCTTCTATCTATTGATCATATATCTAGCTATCATCTATATTTATCCATCCATCATCTATCTGTCATTTATCTATCCATCCACCCATCATCTGTCTGTCTGTCTGTCTTTTGTCTAAGGACCAAAATCCTGTGGGCTCACCCTGACACTCTAAGAATGGCTGTCCCCAGACTGAAGTCTAACTCAGTCTCTCTCTCTCTCTCTCTCTCTCTCTCTCTCTCACACACACACACACACACACACACACACACACTCTTAGCCACTCTGACTTCTAGAAGCTGTGGGGACTTACAGCTTGCCTAATGTGTTGTTTTTTTCTCTCAAACTCCAGTAAAAATTCCCTTGGACTTCAGGTTTTTTCTTTTTTCTTTAGCTGTGCTGGGCATCAAACCCAGGGCCTCATGAATGCTAGTCAAGGACACCACCACCAGACTTACAATCTGGTCACTTTTGTTTTCTCTTTATAGACATACTTACTTTTGATTAAGGGATTGCAATCACATATGGAAGATGATAGATTGAGGACATGGGTGATGCTCTCTTCACCCAGGAATACTCTACTCTGCTCCTTCAGGCATCACATGGGTGATGCTCTCTTCACCCAGGAATACTCTACTCTGCTCCTTCAGGACATTTTGGGTGGGGATAAAGTCACTACAGACCAATCAGAGATTGAGTTGATTTGAGGCTGAACTCAGACCGTATGAGGGTTGTCTTATATTGAGTGCACTGTTTTTCCTAGAATGACACCTTTTGAGGTAACAGCCAAAATTCAGAGAAATGGTCTGTAGTATTCCTACCTTCTTACCACACCCTGAATAGTGTCTGCACATGTGTAGGCATGCATGTAGGGTTCAGAGATGGTTGGTAGGCATCCTTCTCAACTGCTTTCCACCCGATCTCTGGAACAGGGCCTCTCACTGAGCCTGGAGCTCGATGGTTCAGCTAGACTGTCTGGCAAGTGAGCTGTGGGTGTCCTCCTCCCTGTCTGCTCAGTGCTGGGCATGTAGCACGTGCTGCTGCACACGGTTTTTTGAGGGGTTGCTGGGCATCCAAACTAGATCTTCACGTTTGTGTGGGAACCACTGCCAGCCAAGCCATCTCCACCTGAACAGTAATTTTTATCCTTCTGATTCTGTGAGCAAACCCATAGTGTGTTAGTTTAAATCCTGCCAATTAAAATGGAAGCATTTAGAGTGTCATTTGCTTTGAGGGAGAAGGCAGCTTAAATTCTTTGGGCTTTTTCTTACTTGGTAATGGCTGTAAAAATTCTCACAGATCAGTTATACCTTCAAATATACACAGATCACACTTGCACACACACCCAAATGCACACCCATGCATACATATATGCACACTCATATACACACATATACACCCCTGTAGTAGGCTTTCTTTGGACTGCCAACCAGATCCCAAATCATGACATGGAGACTTATTTGTTGTGAATGCTTGGTCTTAGCTTAAGCTTGTTTCTTGCTACTCTTATAACTTAACCTGTTTCTCGTCATTTACTGTTTGTCTTGGGGCTTTTACCTTCCATGTCTAGCTGGCTTTCAGCTGTCTGGCTGCCTGGCTCTGGGTGTCTCCCTCACTTTCTCCCTCATTCTCTCCTCTCAAGCCTAGATTTCTTCTCCTACTTACTCTCTTTGTCCTCCAGCCCCTCCTATTCCACTATTGCCAATCAGGTGCCTTAGGTAGGCAAGGTGAAACAAATGCAACACATCTTTACATAATTAAACAAATGCAACATAAACAAATACAACACACCTTTACAATGCTATAGTCCTCAATATATGCCTTTTCCATATACAGTTTCTACTTGCCTTCAGAGTATTAACACAACACACCTTTACAATGCTAAAGTAATAGTCCACAATATATGCCTTTTCCATATACAGTTTCTACTTGCCTTCAGAGTATTAACCAAACAACTCAATCAACCTCCGGCCTATCATTTACAAAGGACTGCACTTCCTCTTTGTCCCTATAATACTTTGCTTTCTTATATTTTCTGAGCCCTGGAAGTCTTGTATCCTTAGTAGAAGGGTTTCAGCTATCACATGCATAGACAGACTCAGGAAGGAGAGGGATTGTTAAGAATGCACACTCTCGAGCTAGAGCAGTGCCTCAGTTGTAAAGTGCTCGCTGTGCTGACTTTGGACATGAGTTCTGTCCCCTGAGCCAGGAATAGCGGTGCAATTGTGGGATATTTATTTATTTATTTATTTATTTATTTATTTATTTATTTATTGAGACAGGAGCTCACTCTATAAACCAAGCTGGACACATGCTCACAGAGATTGCCTGCCTCTGCCTCCCAGGTGCTGGGATGAAAGAAGTACACCATCACGCCCACTGTGGTGGTACACCTCTAATCCCATCACTGGGGAGAGAGGAGGATTATTAGGGTTCACCTGTCAGCCAATTTAGCTTCACCAGCAAGCTCCAGATCAATGAGAGATCGTGTCCCCAAAGATAAGGTGGATGGCTCCCAAGGAACAATATCAGAGCTTGACCTCTGGCCTCCACATTCATATGCACACATGAGTATGCTGGCATGTACTTGGGCACTTACGTGGACATGCTGTGTGCGCACACACACACACACATATTCTCAGTCCCTACCCAAGACCATCCCTAAAGTACGGAGCAGGGTTTAGGAGCTAGCGTATTTTAAAAAAAAAAACAAAAACAAAAAACCAAAAAAAAACTTCACAAATGGCTTTAATGTAGGCAGTTCATGCGCAAGACCCTGAGGATCCTTTATCTAGGGAAGGCGGTATTTTGGTATTTGAAGGGGAGAGTTACTCATCTAGTTTTCAATTGTTTTTATTATCCAGGGTGTCCAGTGGATGCCATTGTCTTAGAAGCTCCATTTACCAACATGTGGGTGGCGAGTATCAACTATCCTCTGCTAAAGGTGAGTCTTCCTTCCGTTCCTCTTACCCTGCGTTGATGTGCAGGCTGTTTCCATACCCAGGTGTTTATGACTATGGCTCATTTTAAAACGAGTTTTGTAAGTTCTGGAGTTGTTCTAGCCTTGGTCAGTTTACCACTAACGGCACAAGGGCTTCTCCTAACAGACAGGAACTGATTAAGTGAAAGGTTTCTACTGATCAGACAGAGATTTGTTATGATAATTACTCTTTTTAAATTGAAAATAAAATTTTATACATCAACTTCAGCCACATCTCTTACAACATTTTGTCATAAACAAGATTCCAGAGAAAATGCTTCTACGGAGTACTCCAGTTATGGTCAACAGTCTTCTCAAGAAAGTAAAACATAGGGGGGCTGGAGAGATGGCTCAGTGGTTAAGAGCACTGTCTGTTCTTCCAGAGGACCCAAGTTTAATTCCCAGCAACCACACGGTGGCTCACAATCATCTATAATGAGATCTGGTGCCCTCTTCTGGCCTGCGGGCACACATGCAGACAGAACACTATACATAATAAATAAATCTTGTTTAAAAAGAAAGTAAAACATAAAGATGAGTTTAAAAATCTGTTGTACACATCATCCTATATTATTATTATTTATCTTTTTTTGAGATAGGTTTCATTTCATAGCTCAGACTGCACTAGAACTCACAGAGTAGCACAGGCTAGCTTCCAGCCAATGATAGCCATCTTGTCTCAAGCTACCAGGATTTTGGAATTACAGCATGAGTCACCTCATCTGACCCATTACCCTAATTTTATACTTTCCCAGGCCTAATTTTCGATTTTATATAGTCTCATGCTCACAGTGAATGTTAGCAAGTGAGGGGCTGGCAGGGGAGTTTGGGGGAAAGGCAAAGGTTTTTAGAAGAGATACAGGCACACATTTTAAATTATTTGATGCTATAAGGCATCCCAGGGATATTTTGATCTGTTTATTTCTGAAATGTTTTGTACTATAAGCCACCACAGAATTTTCTGAGTTTGCTTACGTGTTTTCAGGGAGTGGGCAGCCAAATCTATGTATTTCTTCATAGTGATAGTGTCCATGTGTGTCTCTAAGGAGTATAGTTTTATTTGAGCTTCTTTATATATAATTATATCACCTAAATTCATACTTGTGAGATTTCATTCTGGATGTGTGAAATTGTAGTTTGGTCATTTCCACTGATGTATGATATTCAGTTATAATGCACACAGGACCATCTATAGGTCCTTCATGCTGCTTGTCTCTTCCTCTGAGTTTTCCATTAAGAAAAAAATAATGTACTTGATGATGCCTACTGCACAAGATTGTTACAAAACAAAACAAAGAAAAACAAACTAAGTAATATACCGACTTCATGAGAAATACCCGGCGGCTGGTAGGATACCAACAATGCCTGTTCCATTCCCCACTCATTCTGCATCAAAGTGGACTAAAAGAGAATTAGAGGACACAGAATGGTAGTTTCAGGGCAGGGAGAATGGAGAAAAGGGAGCGAGTGGCCTTGTGCTCTAGTGTGTGTGTGTGTGTGTGTGTGTGTGTAGGACTTACAGAGAGCCCAGATCTCAGCAAGTTTCCAGAAAACAAGGTAAAGCATGGAGGAAATAGAAGCAGGGGTGGAGGCCGTGTGAGCAGAGCCCTGTGTGGGCTCCTGTACACCTCCACACTCACCCTTTCCGTCCTCCCCCATCTCTGTCAGTGCTGTCCTTACCTCTGCTCATGGGTGAGGGGAAGCAAGGCTTAGAGGGTAGTCCAGTTACCACTGCGTCCTCCAATCCAGACAACAGGCCAGAGGTGAGCGCCTCTGGCAGGAAAGCCTGGGGCTGATGTGGATGGCTCACAGTTAAGCTAGGAGCGAGTGGCCTAGCATATGGTGTAGCATCCCTGAGGGTTGGAAGTGGCAGACTTCATGCCACTGGCATTTTAAGAATGATTATCTGGTGTTATTACAGAAAAAAGGCGGAGGCAGGAAGACCAATTAAGAGTCTGCCTTTGTGGTCTGGACTGGGGGTAACCGTGTGACCTTTCAGTCTCAGAGGACATCTCCCCTGGTAGGGAGTGAGGTATGATGGGAGAAGATTGACTTGGGTCTGCTTCCTTCTTACTCCTTCAGAATTTGAGATGAATTGCTGATGGGGGTTCTCTTATTGAATTTTCCTCCCATGAGTCCCAGTTCCAGGATGGGGGAAATTAGGAGACAAAGAAAAGACAGCAAACCTAGCAACTTGCCCTTAGCGTGGATGCGGAGGGAGAAGACAGAGGAGAGGCAGTGTGACATAGCTGGCCCACACCTGAATGCAGATCGGTTCTGGAGAGCTGGAAAATGTGCAGGCCAGGCCCACCCTGAGCCACCGAGCAAGGCTTGAACACTCTAAACGGTTGAAAGCAGTTTGTTACTGTGATGCTTTAAAAAAACATTTCATATTTTGACAGTGTCCACAGGACATCAAATACACCGGCTGGCATTGTGTGCACACTGAGTTTCCCTTCTGATGGCAATCTGCAGTAAACAGAGTAGGAGCTTAGTCTGCCTTTCAATACTGTGATCATGGCATCATGTAATTAGTCCACAAGCCCTGAACGAACTAATTAAGTCTGCTTGCAGTAGAAGCAAATTTCAGATTTTTTGTAGTACTGTTCCCCTTGTGAATGGAGGAATAAGAGCTTGACTGTCACATGTATTTGAAACGAAGCAACACAGGAAGACACAAACAAATGCTAACAGTGGTTATCTTTGATGGTGGAACTGGTATATGGCTTGTGTCTCTTCTCATTTCTGGTTCCTCCCTCCAAATTCTTCAAGTACAGGAACTGCTTTTGAAGATCCACAAGTGTTTTTTTAAAGTTCAGTGTAGCTAGAGAGCGGCTATTCTCTGTTTTGTTTTGTTTTTCAAAACAGGGTTTCTCTGTGGCTTTGGAGGCTGTCCTGGAACTAGCTCTTATAGACCAGGCTGGTCTCGAACTCACAGAGATCCACCTGCCTCTGCCTCCCAAGTGCTGGGATTAAAGGCCTGTGCCACCACCGCCCAGCTGAGAGCGGCTATTCTCTTATTACTTAGGGTTCATAATGAAAGGATATAACAAGTTGTATGTGGGCTTGGTAAAATTGTCTGACACCTTGCAACTGTGCATTCTAGAGGACTATGGGACAGGCATTAACATCTTTCGTCTCTCTCTCTCTCTCTCTCTCTCTCTCTCTTTCTCTCTCTCTCTGTTTCTCTTTTTTAAAAATAGATTTACAAGAAGCTACCAAGATGTTTAAGAATGCTAATGGATGCCCTTAAAGAAGACAAGATAGTCTTCCCCAGTGATGAAAAGTAAGCAAACAAGATGCTTGCTCTCACTCTGAGTAACCACCATGGCATACTAGATGAGAGCTTGTGTATTGGCCTTCCTTCTTTCTGGATTCCATGCTAGTTCTAGGACATGGGCAGGGTTTCTACACATTCATGATCTGCTGTTCCTCTTATGTCCAAGTGGACACTTTCTCCAATCCAGCACTTCCTCTGACATTGTAGAGATGCATGTTTATGAGCCCTGTGAAAGCCCACTGGGGTTGAGTCTAAGAGTCTATGGGGGTCCCTGACTCCCCCCTGACTGATAGGTCTTATTCCCCATGTAGCCCAAACCCAGGTAATACCAACCAGCCCACCCAGCAATAGATACAATGATTAGAAATAACTGAAGGATGCTTCCAAATAGGCATCTGTTAATTTATCCCTTTTCCTATGTCAGCACCTGAGGAAAGCTAGCATTCTGAGCAGTCACCTCTAGTGATGAATTTGAAAGAATACAGAAAGGTCTGAGTAAGCCCGAGAGGAAGTCTTTGTGCATGTTTGTGGCCTTTTGTATTGTCAAACTGGGCTGGCTAGGTGGCTAATCACACCTGGGGCTGCATATCATGCTATTTTTATGGGGATAAGTAAATAATTTGCTACCCGAGGGTCTCAGGTCCTGCTGTAGTTTTGTTATTTTTGAGTTCTCTTGTTTTGTAGAGCTTTAAAGATTTAATTTTAGGCTTGTGGATACTGTGTCTGTGCAACAGTATCTAAGGTGGCCAGAAGAGGGAGCCAGATCCCCTGGGACTGGAGTTACAGATGGTAGCGAGCTGTTAACTGGAAGAAGCCAGTGCTCTTATCCACTGGGCTAGCTCCCTCTTTTGTAGACTTTTAATTAAAATACTTCAGGCATTACACAATGAGGTATAATAAAGAAAAAGATAAGGTCTACTGATGTCATGCAAATCCATTATTTCAATGAGTATTTTGTTTAATATTATTAAAATTCACATAGAGGTGAATTAATTAATTCAGTTCAATTGTATGGGCAAATCAAACAGAGGGAAACATGGAGAAATTGGTTACTAGGTGAAGTTTTGTACATACAAAGCTGTGACTCCTTGGAAGGAAGATTTTATTTTTTTGTGCTTTGGGCAAACGTCATGTGTCACTAAAATGGTAACTTAAGAGCTCAGGTTGAAGGCTTAAACTGTGTGCTCTTCTCCCAACTTCTCCTAGTGTGAAGTTCCTGTCTTCCCCACTTCTCATCTTGCATGGAGAAGACGACAGGACAGTGCCTCTGGAGTGTGGAAAGCAGGTAGCCCAAGAGTTCTACCATTTCTTCACCTAGCTGACCTTTGATTAGAGGTCAAAGGTCACTTCCATAGGGATGATCTACACTCCTGAAGAGTCATGTTCCCTGATCTATATGAGTATCCATGCCGTGGATACTAGTATGAAGGAGTTTGGGGTAGGGGTAGACCTTGGTCCCTCACCTGGGGTCTGTGACTAAGTGGGACCCCCATGTTACCTTTAGTGCTGTTTTCCTTTAAACAAACCTGTGCTGGCATAGGCCCATAGCGATGCTTAGAGCCTTTGCAGTAAGGTGTGGTGAGAGGGAGGATGGGTCATCAGATTCTATTAGTCATGGACATTCTGGTCCTCAGCTGTAGAAACAGCCAATAGAGGACCCGAGGGTCCCTAGGGTCTGACTTGACTCCCCAAGTTCCTTTCCCTTTTAGGGAAGTCAGACTAGGAGGCCTGCGGCTGGGCATTACCGCCTTGCCTTTGACTCTGTCTTTCGCTTCTCCCACAGCTCTACGAAATTGCACGCAAAGCCTACAGGAACAAAGACAGGGTCAAAATGGTTGTCTTCCCTCCAGGCTTCCATCACAACCTTCTTTGTAAAAGCCCCTTGCTACTGAGAAGTGTGAGGTGAGAACTACTCTTGCTAACTGTGCCTCAATTAGCTGTGCTGCCACAGTGACCAGGGCAGTCCTGAGTTACTCTGACCAAGTGTGAGCTGACCTAAGCCTTCTTTCTGCAGAGACTTCCTGAGCCAGCAGTGGGCATGAGGGCCTGGAGGAGCAGAAATCGACAGTGAAGATGGGGTACAAAAGTCATCTGAGCTGTGTGGTTTCTGTGTGCAAAATTGCATTGGACTACTTGAGTGAGCCAAAGCCCCTGATGCTTCCACAGGCCACCTGTGGTTGAATAAAGAAAGCTGCACAGAATGTTCTTTAGTTCATCATTGTCTGCCTTGAGAACCTTGCCAAATGCTCAGAATTTAACACAACCTCATCTCATCTATAAATGTCCACTTAAGAAAGCTGCTGGGGTATTTGTAAGGTGGCTACTAGTGTACCATTTAGGAACCAGAATGTGTTTCTCCCCAGACACTGAACCTATGAGCCCCTTGTACTTAGCCTTCTCTCATCTTCAGAACTGTGAGACTAAATTTATGTTGTTTGTAAGTTATCTAGATTAGCATCTTCTGTTATGACAGCTTGAAGGGACCGAGACAGCAGCCTGGAGCTTGGACACTGGCACCAGTGGAGATATTTTACCTTAGTTCCTTCAAATGGCCTTAAACAGTTCCAAACAGTTTTCTGACTACCTAATTACTTTTGAGGAAGGTAATCCTGGCAGGCTACCGACTGACAACTGGAAGTCTACATTTTATTTTTCAGTCTCTAATACAGCCATATGTTTTCCTTTCCCATTCTCAGAGACACCTAACTAATTATTCAGTAACAAAACAGAATCAGCAAAGCTATAAAAATATTCAAGTTCAATGAGAAGTCATTCCTTTCTGAGAGACATTTTCCTGTCACTCCCCGTTGATGCCCCTGCTAGACTCTTTGGATAGGGAAATCTTCAGATCCGAGGGCTCCATGTTCCAGATGTCCTTGGCGTATTCCTTAATTGTCCGGTCACTGGAGAATTTCCCTGAGGCAGCTATGTTTTTGAGTACCATTGTGTTCCAGGCTTTTTGATTCTGTGAATAACATAAACACATACAGGGTCTGTGTGCCTGGCACGCTTTGACAAACATCAGGCCAAGCACACTTCATAGAGGAAAGACAAAAACAAACTAGAAGGACTTATAAATGCATTTGCTCTGCTGATGGTTGGCTAGAGCAGACTACACTTTCTTCACATTCGTTGTATATATGTCTCTTAGGGATGAAGAATTGTTTTTATTTTAAGGGAAACCATGGGCATAGCATGGTGGTAGACGCTTTTAATCCCAGCCTTCAAGAGGCTAAGGCAAGAAGATCTCAAAATGAAACCCAGCCTGGGCTACACAGACTCTCTCTCAAGAGAGGGAGAGAGAGGGCGTGAGAAAGCAAGGGAGTGAGAGCAACAGTATGAACATGCAGAGAGGGGGTGTGGGGGCAGGGAGAGGGGACAGAAAGGGGAGAGGGACAGAGATGAGGAGGGAGAGAGGGAGGGAAGGAGGGAAGGAGGGAGGGAGAGAGAGAATGAAAATCTGTGGATGGGAATTCTCTAATTGATAATCCTACTAGGGTTCTAGTGTTTTAGCATGCAAGCCATATTTTCCATGCATTATTATAAATGGAAAGACCTAGGATGGAGAGATGGCTCAGTGGTTAGAAGCATCTGTTACTCCTTTAGAGGACCTGAGTTCAATTCCCAGCACCCCTACTGGGTGGCTCATAACTGCCTGGAACTCCAGCTCCAAGGGATCCAATGACCTCTTCTGGCCTCAATGGGCACCTGCACACACTTTGGCATCCACGCACATAGACACACATAAATAAAATAAAAATAAATCTTAAAAATAAGTGGGACAACCTTTCTTCCACCTAAAGGGGGGGAGGGACTAATATTCACTATCCGTTTGAAGAGGTTTAACCTATGACTTGACAAGTTTGGAAACCAGTGAACATTATCTAACAGCAACGGAAAGCTCGGCTGACCCACTTAGCTTTCCTTCTTTCTTTTTGAAGGCCTATGCCCCATTAGGTTTTTTCTGATCCCCACAACTCCACTGGGGCTTCAAAACAGGGTGAACTAAGGTTTATTCTCAATCAAAAATATCTAAAATTTTACATTTTGTAAAAAGAATATAAAAAACATTTAACTTGCAGTTTCTTATTTTTTCTTAAAGATCTCTGAGAGTTTATTGGAATTTATTCAAAGTTGTTAACACATTAGGAAAAATTTTAAAAAAATTAAACTATCATCATACCCTAAGGTATGCCAAAATGGAGCATACAGCTCACTCAGGCTTAGAGACTTCTACATAAAAATAAAAAACAAGCCAGGAGGTGGTGGCACACACCTTTAATCCCAGCACTCAGGAGGCAGAGGCAGGAGGAACTCTGTGGGTTCGAAGCCAGTCTGGTCTATAGAGCTAGTTCTAGGACAGCAGTGCTATACAAAGGAACTCTGACTATAAAAACCAACCAAACAAACAAATAAATAAAAATAAGAACAAGTGAAATGGATATTATGCAGGTCATGTCCACTAAGCTCAGCAATGCAGTTGCCATCAAAAGTAGAAAGCTGCAATTTGCAGTAATGACAGACAGGAATGAATAAAACGCTATTCTCCCCATGGACTTTGGGTTTGGATTTGGATTTGGGTTTACCTTTAACGGAGGACCCTAACTGTCCTTGACACTAGTCCTCGCCTTTGTTCATGTTTTCCTTCCCGGTTATGATTGGTTTCTATTTCTCCAGGAAGCTGCTCTCTTTCCCCTGAGTTCCTGGGGCTGCATGGGCTGTTCTCTCATGTTCTTAGCACCGCTTGCTTCACTGTTCACAGCCACTGACTTGAACTTGGGTCTGTGCTCTGCTAGGGGATTCATCTGACTCAACCTAGATGAGGGCTTGCTGCAAGGCAGCACAGGCTTTCCCACAACCCCAGAGGGCTGTCTGGGGTGACTGTATGTGCTAACCTGGCCTGTTGCCTGCCCTGAGAAAGGAATGGGAAAGAATGCTCGGTGAAGCCTGTCTGGAGTCAGCTCAGAGCTCGTTCCTCTGGTGACCATTCCATGCTTTTGCAAGACACGCCTGGAGGGTTATTTGACTGCACGTGGAGGGTTATTCACATAGCTCTAGGCTTTTTTATAGTCATATATAACCCTCTCTTCCTTCTGTACATTTATGTTAGAGTGACCTGACTCCATCACAAGGCTGTCCAGGGAAGGAATTATTTTTCAGTTTTCAGAGAATACCAGGCCAGTTCTTATCCAACTAAACTGTGACTCAGCCTTGTAATCTTGTTAAGTGCTTCAAATATCAATGGACGGTTCTACCCACTGCTGCTCAGAATTGCTGTGGGTGAAGGGTAAGTTGTCACCTATATTTTGAAACAGCAGCCTTGGTGACTGTGATATGTACTTCTGGTTAAGAAATCCAGGGTTAAAGCCAGAAAGACAAATATAGTATGTACTCACTTATATGTGGATACCAGACATAAAGCAAAAGATACCCAGCCTACGATCCATAACCCCAGAGAAGCTTGAACCCTCTTCCTGAAACAGAAGTAGATGCAGAAATCCACAACTAACCAATGGACCAAGCTCCTGGAGAACAATCATCGTGAGGGAGGAGCAAAAATATGAACAAAGGAGTCAAGACCATGATGGGGAAACCCACAGAATCAGCTGACCTGAGCTAGTGAGAGATGGCTGACTCTGGTCTGACAAATGGGGAATCTATATAAGAATGAACTAGATTCCCTTAATATAGGTGACAATGGTGTGGCTGGGACAAGATATGAGCCCACTGGCAGTGGGTCCAAGACCTAACACTGATGTACAAACTGACTTAGTGATATGAGACCACTGGCAGTGGGTCCAAGACCTAACACTGATGTACAAACTGACTTAGTGGAGTCCATTCTATATGGAGAGATACCTTGTCCAGCCTAGACACAGGGGTGTGGGGGTAGAGAGGTGTCTTGGTCCTGCCTCAATGAGATGATGGGACAGACTTAGTAGACTTCCTATGGGAGGCCTTACCCTCTCTATGGAGCAGATGGGAGAAGGGAGGAGTGGAGGGAGGGGGAGGAAAGGAAGGAGGGGGAATTGGGATTGGGGTTAGGCCTGGAGGTGGTGCATGCCTTTTATTCCAGCACTCAGGAGGCAGAGATAGGTTGATCTCTGTGAGTTTGAGGCCAGCCTGGTCTACAGAGTAAGTTCCAGGACAGGCTCCAAAGCTACAGAGAAACCTGGTCTTAAAAAACCAAAACCAGGAGAGAGAGAGAGAGAGAGAGAGAGAGAGAGAGAGAGAGAGAGAGAGAGAGCGGGGAGGGAGAGAGAGAG